GTGAGCATTGAACAACACAGGTGCACTTAACATACATACAGGCAGTACACTCATACACAAAATAAAAATAATAAATATATATTTTTTGAATGTATTGAATCCTTGATTCATTACTGGAGTCCTGTACTCTGGGTAGTACAGACCTTTGAATCACAGTTGAGGATTCTACTTTTCCCCTTGCCCAACTGCCAGCTGTGATAAACTTGTTCTTGCAGTGCTGCAGCTGGCGACACAAACAATCACAATTTTAATCACAAAAACAGGAGCAGCTGAAATATAGGGTATCATTTTACATAAATAAAACTTCTTGATAAACTCACTAAATTTTGCTAAGTTTTTTTAATAAAGAAAAGAAAGCAAACAATTGAGTGAAATTATTGTTTAATCAAAGTGAACACATAAAATTCTAATGCAAAAATTAAAGGGATGAGCTAAAAATTTCACAGGAACTGGTGGCTGAAGAGCTGGTTCAGCAGTTAAGAGCACTGGCTCCTAAAGTGGTAGCTAACAATCATCAGTAACTCCAGTTCTAGGGGATCCAACACCCTTTTTTGATCTCCTAGGACACTGTACCCATGGGTGCACTTGCATAGATGTAGGCCAAACACTCATACATAAAATAAAAATAAAAATTTTGAGCTCTTGTAGGAAGTTAAATTGCCTCCTCTCCCACATTCCCTGGATAAAAATCAGTTTTATCCAGAACTTGGACAGCTGCATAATAAACTAACATTGCTTAAACTATAATTGTAGGTTTGCCTAGAAACTGCAGGGGTAGCATTGAAAATTCAGCTTACCCTTGTTCAGCTTCTCTGCTACGATGGGAAAACAGGAGTGCAAATACAGGGAGGCAGTAGCATTTACATCAGGTCTTTGGACCCAGTGTTCTCTCCACTACATTATGAGGTTTTCTTCCGTAGAGTAGACACTTCCTGAGTTCATGTTGAATGAAATCACTAATTAGGAAAAATCGGAATTCTCCATGTATCCTTGAGATTGTGGGATACCTGTGCCATTGCTGGTTCTTTTACTATGTAAAATTCCCAGTGCAACAAAAGTATTCAGTCTTTGTTGAATGAATGAATGCTTTAAAGTGCTTTAGAGACTTAATTGTACTGTTTAGGTTAATGCAAATATGTGGATTTTCACTAATTGGATAGTAATCATAGCCTCACCATATGTAGTTGGCCTTCTATTTAGTTGTATTCATTTGGGTCAATTACCATATAACTACTTTTTTAAAAAAATTCATTTTTATTATGTGTATGAGTGTTTTGCCTGCACAGATCTTAAGTACACCACCATGCATTCCTGGTGTCTGTGGAGGACAGAAGAGGGTGCTGGATCCACTGGAACTGGAGTTAGAGATGGTTGTGAGCCACCATGTAGGTGCTAGGAACTGAACCCAGATCCTCTGCAAGAATAGCCAGTGTTCTTAATTGTTGAGTCATCTCCAGCCCCTGCTTTTTATTTAGATAAGAAGGTTTCTTGGAACTTTTCAACTCCTACTGTCAATGGACTCTTACTTGGAAGGAAACTTAAGGTTATCTAGCTAGACCTACCTCCTGATGCTTCAGCATTACCACCACTGTGAAAGCAGTGAGTATTGTTTCCATTAATTATTATATGGCAAGCACTGTGTTTTACACATTGCCTCTGTGAATCTTTATGCTTGATGCTCTTTGGGCCATTGTTGTCCCCACCCAGTGGTACCAAAGTGGGAAAGCAGGATTGATCCCAGCTCTGTTTGGTTCAAGGCTGTGCTTTCACTGCATTGCAGGTGTCCTCAATCACATTTCCTTCCTGCTTTATTATGGTCACTCACTGCTCTCCAAACAAGGTTGTTTCATCTTTGAACAGCTATTATTACTAGAAAGCCTTTTGGAAATATCCCTCTTGCCTCTTTCTCTTTTTCATTAAAGGCTCCTCTGAATCCTACAATAATGAGTCTCTAGTCATTTGTGTACCTTTTTACCCTATGCAGCTTGTCTTGTTTAGGTTTGTTTTTTATGTCTGTTTTTGCACCTCAGAATTTGTCTTAATTTATAAATATGTATTTAAAGGCTAGTAGATTAACCTTAGTTTACTTAACTCTCTTATAACACGAGTATGAGTATTCATTGCTTTTGTTTTTAAGCAGAGCAAACATGATTCCTCAGTTTGGCTACAGACATTTGAGATAGAGGTTTGAAATACATTACCTATTGAAACACTTTATCTGGCTTTCAGGAGGCACTGTGGTTGCACTTTTAATGGAGGCAGTGTCTTCATTTCATAGGCCCATATTGCTTCCTTAGGAACTCTGTCTTTGGGCAAGGAAAAAGGAAGGAGGAGATGGCATGGGTCTGTAGGTAGCAGGGTAGCCTTGAACAGCAGGGCATGTGAGCCATAGTTGAGCTGTGAGGAACAGATAAAGTGAAAGTAAATAGTAAAGTGTACTTAGATGTTCTTTTAATCACTGCTGTAGAGATTGAAGAGTTTTAGAACAAAATAGTGAACATTTTCTTTTATTGAACAGCTTGTTAAATTTTTTTAAGTTGAATAAAACTGTGCAAACTTTTTTTTACTAGAAAATAGATTATGAAGCTTTATGTATATGGATTAAGATTTGAGAGTAAAGTTAGATTATTATTTTTTTTTGTAAGCAGTTTCTTTGCAGCCCAGGCTTGCCTTGAACTCAAAATCTTCCTGCTTCTTCAGCCTAAGTGCTTTGTTTACAGATATATCTCACTATGTCCGGCTTTAAATTGTATTTTATGTTTTGTAATATATGATTTTAAGGATTTTAGTATTTCCCTCTCTTATCTAAAGTTAACTCCCTATATTAATGATTATAGTGCCTGCTGGGTGTGGTGGCACACGCCTTTAATCTCAAACAACAACAACAAATTTATAGTGTCCATTAATGTTGAAGAAAACAAGTTACAGAGTAATCTGTGTAGCATGATACCGTTTAGTTTAAAAAACACAACAAAAGCAAAATATGCCTGGACACGACATGTACTCAATGCTGCTGACTGTGTTTGTGTGTGTGTATGTGTATATATAGACAAATCTTGAAGGTATGCAATCCAGAACGTTTGGAAAGGGTGACCTCTGAGAAGAGTATATGATCCAAGCTGTGTTCCTATTTAGCGTATTTCCGTGCTTGAATTTCTTACAATGAACATGTGTTGCTTTTGTAAGGAAAGAAAAATTTATGGTAAAAAGATAGATACTCTCTTCCCAAATAAATCCACTTTGTACCTTAAATACATAGTGAGCCATGAAAGATATATTCTGACCTCAGAATTATTGCTTCTCCACTAATTCAAGGAAAGAGGAAAACACTAATCAAACCTATTTGGTGTGATTTCTATACAACCTAATAAGATTTTTTTCTGTGGAAAGTTTCAAGCAAATAAAATGAAATTCCTATGGCCTTCAATGATTAATACAGCCAACCTTGTGTTATCTATAGTCTCTATTCCCTCCTTGTTTAGTTAGAAGATTATCTCAAATATGTAATATCACCTATAAATACTTTAGAATGTTCATCTAAAAGATAAGGGTTCTTAGCCCAATGTGGTGGCTCACACATGCAATCCCATTTTTTGAGAGGCTGAAGTAGGAGGATTGTGAGGTTAAGGCCAGTCTGGGCTACATAGACACTTCCAGACTACCTTGAGCTATATGGCAAAAGTGTGCTTCAAAAAAACCAAAGTAAATTTTAAAAACGAGACCTTTTCAGCACAATCAAAAAGTCCATGTTAATTATACTTTAATAATGAGCAATTTTAAATCATCTAAAGGCTTTTAATACTCTATAATCTAGTTATTAACTTTCAATTTAAGTTGCTGTTTTATTTACTTTCATTGTACTATTTAATGTCTATTTCAAATTTAGTATGTTTTCTTTCTAGAATGAAAAAAAAATGTGTGCATTCATGTGTATGCCGGGGGCATGTGTGTGTGGATGTGAAGGCCAGAGATCAACCTCAGGTGTTGTTCCTCTGGTGCTACCTGTCTTATTATTGTTTTTTTTAAATTGGGTTTTTGTGATTTTTTTTTCAATATAATATAATTTGGTTATGTATAGATCCCCTCCCCTATTCTCACCTCCTCCTGACCTGCCATGTTCTTGAGACAGGGTCTCCCATTGACCTGGAGCTCCTTAAGTAGGCTAGCAAGCCCCAGGGGTCTGCCATCATGCCCAGCTTTTAAAATATGGTTTCTGGGGATCTAACCCAGGTTTTCATGGTTTCAAGACAAGGACGTTGCTAACTGAGCTATTCCCAGTTTTTGTGCTTTTTTTTTTTTTAAAAAAAAAGGTTTTGCTTTTGATGTCTTTGTTCAATATGAAAACCTCAGTAAATGGCTAGGTATCTTCATCTTCGAATTTATAAAATGATTCAGGTATATTACTGGGCTTTGTTTCATTAAAGTGCCTTACTGATATCTGACTGTCATGTTTTTGTTTTATATAGGTCTAATTAATAGAAGATGGCAAAGCCCAGTCACAGCAGCTATGTTCTTCAGCAGCTTAACAACCAAAGAGAATGGGGTTTTCTCTGTGACTGTTGTATTGCAATTGATGACATTTATTTCCAAGCGCACAAAGCAGTCCTAGCTGCCTGTAGCTCCTATTTTAGAATGTTTTTCATGAACCATCAGCATAGTACTGCACAACTAAATCTCAGCAACATGAAAATAAGTGCTGAATGTTTCGATCTCATTTTGCAGTTTATGTATTTAGGAAAGATTATGACCGCTCCATCCAGTTTTGAGCAGTTCAAAGTGGCAATGAACTACCTACAGCTGTACAATGTTCCTGACTGCTTAGAAGACATACAGGATGCAGACTGTTCCAGTTCAAAATGCTCATCTTCTGCCTCCAGCAAACAGAACAGCAAAATGATTTTTGGGGTAAGAATGTATGAAGACACAGTGGCCAAAAATGGTAATGAAACCAGCAGGTGGTGTGCAGAACCAAGTTCAACAGTAAATACCCCACATAATAGAGAGCCTGATGAAGAATCTTTACAATTAGGTAATTTTCCTGAGCCACTATTTGATGTATGTAAAAAGAGTTCTGTGTCTAAATTGTCTACTCCCAAAGAGCGCGTGTCACGGCGCTTTGGACGGAGCTTTACCTGTGACAGCTGTGGATTTGGCTTCAGCTGTGAAAAATTATTAGATGAACATGTGCTGACCTGTACTAACAGACATTCATACCAAAACACAAGATCTTATCACCGAATAGTGGATATTAGAGATGGAAAAGACAGTAACATCAAAGCTGAACTTGGCGAAAAGGATTCTTCTAAAACATTTGCTGCACAGACTGAAAAATACAGAGGAGACACCAGCCAGGTCCCTGATGATTCGGCGTCAACCACTGGAAATAGAAAAGGTAACACAGTGGAGTCTGAAGTAGCCAGTGAAGAAAAAAGCAGAGCTGCTGAGAGGAAAAGAATTATTATCAAGATGGAACCAGAAGATATTCCTACAGATGAGCTGAAAGACTTTAACATTATTAAAGTGAATGATAAAGACTGCAATGAATCTACTGACAACGATGAATTAGAGGATGAACCTGAAGAGCCATTTTATAGATACTATGTTGAGGAAGATGTCGGCATTAAAAAAACTGGTAGGAAATCTCTGAAACCACGGATGTCAATAAATATTGATGAAAGAAGTGGCTTAGAAAATATGAGACCCCCCAACAACAGCAGCCCAATACAAGAAGATGCTGAAAATGCCTCTTGTGAGCTATGTGGACTCACAATAACTGAGGAGGACCTGTCATCTCATTACTTAGCCAAACATATCGAAAATATCTGCGCATGTGGTAAATGTGGACAAATACTTGTCAAGGGTAGACAGCTACAGGAACATGCTCAAAGATGTGGAGAACCTCAAGATCTGACAATGAATGGGTTGGGAAATACTGAGGAGAAAATGGACATGGAAGAAAACCCTGATGAGCAGTCTGAGATAAGAGATATGTTTGTTGAAATGCTGGATGATTTCAGGGACAATCATTACCAAATAAACAGTATCCCAAAAAAGCAGTTATTTAAACATTCTGCCTGTCCTTTTCGGTGTCCTAATTGTGGCCAGCGTTTTGAAACTGAAAATCTAGTGGTTGAACATATGTCTAGCTGCCTAGACCAAGATATGTTTAAGAGTGCCATCATGGAAGAAAATGAAAGAGATCACAGACGAAAACATTTTTGTAATCTATGTGGAAAAGGATTTTATCAGCGGTGTCATTTAAGAGAGCACTATACTGTCCATACTAAGGAAAAGCAGTTTGTTTGTCAGACATGTGGAAAGCAGTTCCTAAGAGAGCGTCAGTTGCGTCTGCACAATGATATGCACAAAGGCATGGCCAGGTATGTCTGTTCCATTTGTGATCAAGGAAACTTCCGAAAACATGACCATGTACGGCATATGATTTCTCATTTATCAGCTGGTGAAACGATATGCCAGGTCTGCTTTCAGATATTCCCAAATAATGAACAGTTGGAGCAGCATATGGATGTTCATCTATATACATGTGGAATATGTGGAGCAAAATTTAATTTGAGGAAAGATATGAGATCACATTATAATGCCAAGCATTTGAAAAGAACCTAAGTGATTTTCTACTGTACTAACGTCTAGTTGATAGCAGACAATACACCAAAGCAAAACGAATATGAGCTATTTAGTAATTGATTTTATAAATGAAATGTTGGAAAAAAATTTCCAAGGCCCCTTTACCTTTAATATTTTTGTTTAGGACCTTAAGCATCTATATTTTAGGCATTAAATGTTTATCATTTTTGTTGTTTCTTAATAGCATTCTTTGTTTCTAGTTTTCTTAAGTATGATTGAAATAAATTACTTTTAAATTGTAAGTGGCTGTTACCCCTTAAATGACTATTAAACTAGTTTTTTTTTGTCGGTAAGGTGATGACTTCACTATTTCTATGTACTTTGACTTTTAAAGTTATCCTGTGAAATTTTAAGCCTAACATTGTTGCCATTCTTGTTTAAATTTTTTAAAGACTTTAAAAATAATTACTTAAAACTATCCTCATTTTTAGCTTTTTTTTTTTCTTTTTGGGTTTTGGTTTATCTTTTTTGAACCTTGTTTTGTTTTGTTTGATCAGTTGTATAGTGGAATAGCTACTGTTCATTCTCCCTTATCAATAAAATTCTTTATTAAATTGACAAGCTTATTAGGCAAGTTAGGTGCACTGAATCTACCTTTAAGGTTGACATGGGCTCAAACTTGGCCTAAGATTGATGGACCTGAGGAAATTCCTATAAATGAATATTTCCTATAATTGATAAAATGTTATCATTTAATAATCACATTTAAAACTTATATTAAGTGTAAATCCCAATGGCTTTCCCTCACTTGAGATATTATTAGTGGGGATAAGCCATTTTGTTTTGTGATACTGGATTTAACTATGATAGTTAATTAAAAGACATCTTGTATTCATTAAAATATTTTAATTTAAAATATTCTGATTTCTAAAGTGTTTATCAATTATTTTGTTTATAAATAGACTTT